ATTCCAGACCCTAACCCCTCGAGTGAACCTGCCTCCCCCACACTCTCAGACAGTACATTCCAGACCCTAACCCCTCGAGTGAACCTGCAGTCCCACACCCCTCTTTCTATTTATTTCCAAGCTCCCTTCCCCCTCCCCCTCCCCAGTTCTGATGATGGGTGTAAACTCGAAACATTGACTCTCCTGCTCCTCTGATGCTGCCTGGCCTACTGTGTTCCTCCAGCTCCATACTGCGTTGACTCTGACTCCAGTATCTGCAGTTCTTGCTATCTCCTACTGTCAGCAATCTCTCTCTCTCTCTCTCTCTGTCTCTCTCTGGACTCGATCGCCATCTATCCACGCACAGCTTCTCCAACCAGCACCCCTCCCTCCAATCCTTTTATCACCAGAAATACCACTTTTTCCTCACCGTTGTCAGTTTTCAAGGAGGATCACTGGGCTTGAAACATTAACGGTTTCTCTCTCCACAAAGTCAGAAGTCACACCACCAGGTTACAGTCCAACAAGTGCACTTCACCTGATGAAGGGAGTCGCTCCGAAAGCTTGTGTTTTCAAATAAACCTGTTGGACTACTACCTCTGTCATCTGACATCTGACCTTGTCCACCCCAGTCCAACACTGGCACCCCCACATTATCTCTCTGCACAGATGCTGCTGAGTTTCTCTAGCAATCTCTGGTTTTGTTTCTTTCAAATAGAGTCATAGAGTCGTACAGCACAGAAACAGAACCTTCGGTCCAACTCCATGCCGGCCAGGTTTCCTAAACTGAGCTAGTCCCATTTTCCTGCATTTGACCCATATCCCTCTAAACCTTTCCTCTTCATGTACCTATCCACACGTCTTTTAAATGTTGTAATTGTACCCACCTCTACCACTTCCTGTGGCAGCTTGTTCCATACATGCTATGTGAAAAAGTTGTCCCTCAGGTCTCTTAAATCTTTCCCCTCTCACCTTTAATCTATGCCCTGTAGTTTTGAACTTCCCTACCCTGGAAAAAAGACCTTGGCTATTTACTCTATCCATGCCCCTCATGAATTTATAAACCTTATAAGGTTACCCCTCAGCCTCAAATGTTCCAGGGAAAATAGCCCCAGCCCATTCAGTCTCTCCGTATAGCTTAAACCCTCCATTCCTGGCAACATCCTTGTAAATCTTTTCTGCACCCTTTCCAGTTTAATAACATCCTTCCTATAGCAGGGCAACCGGAAACGTAAGCAGTATTCCAGAAGTGGCCCAACCAATGTCCTGTACATGACGCAACATGATCTCCCAACTCTTGTACTCAATGCTCTGTCTAGCTGTGATGTCACTTTTAAGGAACTATGTACCTAACCCCTAGGCTTCTCTGTTTGACAATACTCCCCAGGGCCCTACCATTAACTTACCAAAATGTAACACACTGCATTTTGTCTACTCTATTTGCCATTCCTCGGCTTACTGGACAGTTGATCAAGATCCCTTGGTACTCTTAGATAACCTTCGTCACTGCGCACTGTACTACCAATTTTCGTGTCATCCACAGACTTACTAAGCACACCTCCTATATTCTCATCCAAATCGTTTATATAAATGACAAACAACAGTGGGCCCTGCACTGATCCTTGTGGCACACCGCTGGTCTCAGGTCTCCAGTCAGAACAACAACCCTCTACCACCACCTCTGTCTCCAACTGTTGAGCCAATTTTGTATCCAGTTGTATCCATAGTTCTTTGTTTTATTTATGTGTTTAATTGGTCTGCCATCTCTTTGTTCCCCATTTTAACTTCCCCTGTTTCTGACTGCAAGGGACCTAGGTCTGACCTCAATATCTTTTTTTCCCTTCACCTAACTGTACAAGTTATTACAGTCAGTTTTTGTGTTCCCACAAGCTTACTCTTGTACTCTATGCCTGCTTCACCCCACCCCCTCACTCCCTGGCTCCCCCATCAATCCCTTTGCCCTCCTTTGCTGCAATCTAAACTATTCCCAATCATCAGGTCTACATCTTCTTTAGACCTAATTTATATTCCCCTTCCACGGATCTAATACTGTCCCTAATACTATCTAATGTTATTCCCTCCTTAACCATCATTAGGCTACCTTTCCTGTTTTGTTTTTGTGCCAGGCAGGAATGAACAATTGTTACAGTTCATCAATACACTCTTTAAATGTTTGCCATTATCTGCCCACCGTGATTTCTTTAAGTAACACTCCTCAATCTATCACAGCCAATTCGTGCATCATACCATTGCAACTTCCTCTATTTAGATTTAGTCTCAGAATCAACGACATCTCTCTCCATTTTGATAAGGAATTCTAGCATATTATGGTCACTCATCACAAGAGGCCTAGCACACTAGATGACCAATTATTCCTTTCTCATTACACAATACCCACTCCAGGATGGCCTGTCTCCAGTTAGTTTGTAACTGTATTAGTCCAGAAAGCTATCTTGTACACACTCCAGGAATCCCTCTCTACTGTATTTCTAATCTCTATGTGTTTTTTTGTAACTGTTTCTCCTTATTTACTGTATCACAGGTCTCCTTACTTTGATCGCCTGTAGTACCCACCTGAACAGGGCATCTGGTTGCACTCCTCTGTCTGTTTCATCTCTCCCTGGCAGGGTAGGCTTCCTCCTGACTCTCCACAACTCCGACTGCGGCTCCGCAGTCCAGGCCCACAGCTGGTGGAACACTCACTCCACATGGACCAGCTGCTCAGCTCCATACACTGCGATTCACTACAGTCAAATGTCCCATTCACACACGTACTGCAAAACAAAGAAACCATTCTTTACAACAGTGGAAAGGGTTGAACCCAACAGTTACATTTGCACAGAGCTGGACAGGATAGCTGCACGATGATTGGTTTGTATGAACATAAGAAGTGGAAGCAGGAGTAGGCCTTTCTGCCCCTCGAGCCTGCCCCACTATTCTGGAAGATAGTAGCTTATCTGCCCCAGGCTTCAACTCCCCTTTAGTTTCAGCTCTTGATAGTCCTGAAATCTCCCATACTTCAAAACTCTACCTATCTCCTTGTTAAATACTGTCAGTGACCTACTCTCCACAACTCCCAGTGGGGAGAGAATTCCAGACATTCACTCCCCACTGGGAGAATAAATTCATTCACATTTCTGTTTTAAATGGGATCTATCTATTCCTCCATTTTTACTTAATGGGACAGTGTTAGCATACCTCCAGTCCTCACCTTTGGCCAGCAAAGGATTGAAAATTAATGTCAGGGCCCCTGATATTTCCTCCCAAGCCTCCCTCAACAATCTGGACTACATCTCATCTGGGCCTGTGGGTTTATCCATTTTTTGCCGGTTGCAAAACCCTCTAGTACCTCCTCTCTCTATATATTAATTTCTTCTAATATTCCACAGTCCTGCACCCTCATGCCTGTACCTGCAACTTCTGTGAAGACTGATGCAAGGTATTATTGTGGACTGTGCCCATGTCTTCAGATCTACACATAGATTTGCTCCCTCATTGAGCCAAGTCTTTCCCTAGTTATTCTTTGGCTGTTTGTATGTTTAAAAACTCCTTGGGTTTTCCTTCATCTTACCCACAAAACCTTTTCAAGGTCTCTTTACCTTCCTAATTTCTTTTGTCTGACACCAACCAACCCGCCATCCACTATTTACAGTCCTGTAGGGACTCTACTTTCCTATTCCTAATCTTTATGTCCCTTGACCTCCAGGGTTGTCCACCCCACTCTTTGTCTTTATGGGAGTATGTTTTCATTATACTCTCAAATATAAAACAAAGAGCTGCAGATACTGGAGATCTGAAATGAAGACAGAAATTGCTGGAGAAACTCAGCAGGTCTGGCAGCATCTGCGGAGAAAGAAAAACAGAGTTAACATTTTAGATATGATATCATACTCCCATAAGCCTTTCTGTAATTGGTAAGAGGATCAAGGGTCATGGGGAGAGAGCAGGAGAATAGGGTTGAGAAACATATGATGCATAATCGAATGGTGCAGCAGACTCGATGGGCTGAATGGCCTAATTCTGTTCCTGTATCTTATGATCTGTGCATCGGTCTTATGCCTCAGGCTCCTTGGATTAAAATATATCCCATTAGTTTTGCTGAGTGTACTTCTTTGTTGTCTGGCCAATACCTTTCAGACTCACTCTCTGACATTTCAATTCCATCTCAACTTCTCTCCCACTGAATTACCTGAAACTTTGGAATTCTATTTCCCAGAAGATTGTAGGTTCTCAGCCATTGTGTCTATTTAAGATAAAGTTTGATGGTTTGTTTTTAGGCATTGAGAGATGTATGGAGCTGGTAGGAAGTAGTAGTTAAGGTAAAGGATCAGTCATGATTGGTAGAGTTGACTAGAGGGGCTGAACGGCCAATGCCTCATTTGCTTTCTTAAGTTCTGATATTTGAGATGTGAAGCTGTACACTGAAGACAGCCATACCAGTTGCCACAGGGGATTGAGATACTGTCTCCTGGTTGATATTCCACAGTGTGGTTTGAGGTGGGTGATCCACATCGACAGTCTGACACAGGTACACACTGTGAATCCTGCAGCAACTGACCCCTGGGGCACCGACAACCTGTAGGGAAACATCAAAGTTCAGTCTAACAGATGGATTCTTAGCCAAGAGGAGGAGGAAAATGCCCATTAAACATCGCCATCAGATTTATTGCCCATCTCTAATTACCCAGATGGCAGTTAAGAGTCAACCACGTTGCTGTGGGCCTGGAGACCGAGCAAGACAAGCAGATTTCCTTCCCTGAAGGACATTAATGAAACAGATGGTTTTGTTCTAACCATAATCAACATTGGTTACACAGTCACCATTAGATTGCCTTTATTCATAATTTTTATTCAGTTTGGATTTCACCATCTGACACAGTGAGAATCAAACCACATTCCCAGAATGTTAGCGCAGAGCTCTGTGTTACTAGTCTAGTGACGTCACCAGTACACCACTGCCTCCCATTACATTTACTCCCATTTCTAGCCACTTTATAAGCTTTCTCTTTTGATCCTTTATGAAACTGCATTTCCTTTGTCAGTCCTGGTTGACAGACCATTTTGAGGTTTTATATCCTGAAGGAATATGATATTGCTGTAAATCATGTAATAATTCTTTAAAAACTGTCCATTGTCTCAGAGTCATAGTGCATGGAAACAGACCCTTTGGTCCGACTCGGCCATACCGACCAAGTTTCCCAAACTGAACTTGTCCCACTTGCCTGCATTTAGCCCTTATCTCTCTAAACCTTTCCTATCCATGTACCCGTCCAAATGTCTTATAAATGTTGTAACTGTACCCATCTCTACCATTTCCTCTGGCAGCTCATTCCATTAATACACTAAGCCTCTGTGTGAAAATGTTGCCCCTTTTAGATTTTTCCCCTCTCATCTTAAACCTGTGCCCACTAGTTTTGGACTTCCCTACCCTGGAGAAAAAGACCTTGGCTATTCACCCTATCCATGCCCCTCATGATTTTATAAACTTCTATAAGGTCACCCCGCAGCCTCCTACGGACCAGTGAAAAAGATCCTAGCCTATCCAGCTTCTCCCTATAACTCAAACTGTCCAGTCTTGGTAACAACCTTTCTATGTACAGTCAGGCCTTTTAATGTATTTCCCAATCAACCTCAGCCAATTTGTGTCTCATGTCTTCATAATTTTCCTGATTCAAATTAAAGCCCCTTCCCTCAAATTGAACTACCTCACTTTTAAACTTAATGTAATGTTCTTTCATATTGTGGTCACTCATTCCTGAATGTTCTTTTACAACAAGATTGTTAATTTTCCCCTTTTAATAACATTAGATCTAGTTCTCTAGCTTGCTCCTATTTTGTAACAGCTAGTCTTGATTATTCTTGTTTATTTATCCCCCATCCCTTTCTGTCATTCTCTGACCCTCATTTTGGATGTTTACTATTTTCCTCTCTTTCATGCACCAGTTAAGTTGAATGATATAGATATTTTGCAAAATGTGGTGTATGCTAAGGGATTTATAGCCATCCTTTTATGTTGTTTGTTGAGAGTTTGGGTTTTGCTCTTTGTAGTGGGTTTTCTGTGCCCCTAAACTTAATAATTAAAGTTTTTCTGTAGCTATGGGGATTTTAATTTTAAAACAGTTTTTGAGCCTGTCTTTGGGGTGAATGTGATTTTTCCACCAAAAATGGACATTTGTTTGTTTTAGATTGTCTTGTGACCCAGCCGGGTAAATAATAGGGTCTTGTTAGAAATTATTGGAATACACTATTTCTAAAGCTGAAGGGAAATGCCTATAGCTGAGAGAGAGAAGCTTTTGGATTTCAGTTCTTTTATTACTTTGCATATGGAGCAGTCTTGTGGAGTTCGTGGAAACAGGAGGGCTATATAGACCTGTACTCCTGAGAAAAGTAGGGATATAGTGAGCTAGGTTAACTACACAAGTAGAGTTAGTGTTCATCCCTGACTAGAAATGTTGTGACAAAACTCTGAAGAGGTTACTTAAAGCTGAGTATATTCAGGCTCAGGTATGATATCTTCATCAAGATGTCATCTGTAGATACAGTCTAAAAGCTGGAGTCACAAGTGATGATGGGGATTCTGTTGTAAGTATTTGAGTAGTTTGGATGCAGTACAAAAGGTGTGTTGGCAAAATGCAAAAAAGTTATTTTGTTTGATTTCAATTTATAAAGAATTGTTTTGGAATTAGTGGGACTTGGCTTTTTTTGTGTTTTTAACAATCTTTGAATTAGTGCTATAAGTAGATATTCTGGATTATTCTATTCTATCTGCAGTTCTTTTGTGATAAGTTTCTATTTTGTTGTTAAAGCAAACTCTGCAGCATTGTGTGTTTCTGTTTCAGTGAGATACCACTTTGTTAAAACCAAAACAAGCAACAACATGATCTATCAATCTGGCTTCCAGACTGGGAAATGACTTGTCCACATACCGGGTTTGCACCTTCCCTGGAGACACTGCACATGGTTCCACAAGTCAGTACAGGTCCTTGGACAGTGATTTGCACACGACACAAACTCTTTCCCTCGGTCTTCACAGAGCTCTCCTGAAAATTACAATGGTTGGTGAATACACTGAGGCTTTCATGGGTCTTTTAATTGTCGTCTCATCAGGCAACTAGCAGCTGGACCCATCCTGGAGGAGAATCAGCTACAGTGCAGAAGAACAGTTATACTGGACTAGAAACATTTACTCTGTTTCTCTCTCCTCAGAAGCATCCAGACTGGCTGAGTTTCTCCAACAGTTTCTGCTTTTATTTAAATCTCCATCATCTGCAGTACTTTGTTTTTATTGCTCACTTTGAATCAGGAATCCCAGTGTTCAAAACCCAGAACGCATTTACTCCAAACACTGTCAGCTAGCAGGTTGATATCTCGTCTCAAGTGTAATAACTGAAATACTGTCTACAAAGTAAAGCTTTCTCTACACTGTCCCCATTAAACCCTCCCAGGACAGGGACAGCACAAGGTTAGATACAGAGTGATGCTTCCTCTATGCTGTCTCCATAAACCGTCCCAGGACAGGGACAGACAGTGTTAGGGACAAAGTAAAGTTGTCTCTACCCTGTCCACATCAAACACTCCCAGGGCAAGTATAGCACAGGGTCACATACAGATACATTGTCTGTTTATTCAAAGATCATCCAGGAACCAAAAAATGAACACTGAATTATTTCTGTTTAGCATTTCAGTTTCAACACTGAGACAGAGAGAAAAGGCAGTAAGAGAATATACTGATAGCCAGGAGTGTGGATCAGCAGCAAGAGGAGGCAGTGGGAGGGTACATTGAAGGGGTCATACTGACCGGGGAGGGATAGTTGCAGCTTCAGGGGACTGCCGATTGGGAGAAAAATCAAACAGAGAATAACCTCCATCATTTTGTTTGGCACTATCACAATGCTAAATGGGACAGACATCAAAAGATCTAGCAACTCAACACTTGATATCCATGAGGCGCTGTGGGCCATCAACAGCAGCAGAATTGTACTTCAGCACAATCTTTAACCTCATGTATCCCCCACTCAACCATTACCATCAAGCCAGGGGATCAACCCCAGTTCAATGGAGAGTGCAGGAGGGCATGCCAGGAGCAGCACCAGGCACACTTGAAACTGAAGGGTCTACCTGGTGAAGTTACCAAAACAGGAGGAGTAGCAAGTGATAAACAGAGCTAAACGATCCCACAACCTATGGATCATATCCAAACTCTGCAGTTCTGCCACATCCAGTCGTGAATGGTGGTGAATAATTAAACAGCTCACTGGAGGAGAAGGCTCCACAAATATCCCCATCCTCAATCATAGAAGATCACAATGGAACACAGTGCAAAATGTAAGGTTGAAGTATTTGTGGCAATCTTTACCCAAAATTGCCAAGTGGATGATCTATCTCCACCTCCTCCAGTGGTCCCCAGCTTCATTGATGCCAGCCATCAGCCAATTCTTTTGACAATTGACAAGCAATAGACACATTCTCTCATTGTAGGCTGGTCCAGAATATTAAGTCACATGGAATCCAAGGTGAACTGGTAAGTTGAATATAAAATTGGCTTGGTCATAGCAGACAGAGGGTAGTTGTGGAGAGGTGTTTTTCTGACTGGAGGACTCTGACCAATGGTGTTCCGCAAGGATCTGGGTGCTGGGATCTCTGTTGTTTGTAATATAAATAAATGATTTAGATGGAAACGTAGGTGGTCTGATTATAAAGTTTGCAGACAACTCAAAAATGTGTGGAGTTGTGGATAGAGAGGTCATCTGTCAAAGGATACAGGAGGACATAAATCAGTTGGAAAGTTGGGTGGAGATATGGCAGATGGAGTTTAATATGGACAAGTGTGAAGTGATGCATTTTGGGAGCTCAAATGCAAGGATGCAGTAAATGGCAGGATACGGAGGAGAAATGATACAGAAGGATTTTGGGGTACAAGTCCATAGATCCCTGAAAGTGGCATCAGAAGCTAAAAAGATGCTTGCTTTTATCAGTTGGGGCATTGAGTATAAAAGTTGGCAAGTCATGTTGCAGCTGTATAAGACTTTGGTCAGGCCACATTTGGAGTATCATGTGTGGTTCTGGTCAACACATATAGGAAGGATGTGCAGGATTTGGAATAGGTGCAAAAGAGGTTTACCAGGATGTTGCCTGGGCTGGAGTGCATTGGCGAAAAGGGGAGGTTGCACAAACTTGGATTATTTTCGCTAGAGCAACAGAAGCTGATGGGTGACTTGTTAGAAGTGTATAAATTATGACAGACATGGAAAAATCTTTTTGGTCAAATACTAGGGGACATAGATTTAAGGTGAGAGGGAGAAAGTCAAAAGGAGACATGTGAGGTAATGTTTGACACAGAGGGAGGTAGGTGCCAGGAACGTGCTGCCAGTGGAGGTGGTAGGGGCAGAGATAATAGCAATATTGAGGCATTTAGACAAAGGCATGGATCAAGAGAGACTGGCCTTATGTTAGATTAGAATGGCATCATGGTTAGCACATGTCAGGGCAATGGGTCTGTTCCTGTGCTGTACTGTTCTCTGTCTATGTCTAATTCAGTTCAATACATATGATATCAAGAAATGGTTGGAGACAATAGATACTGCAAAAGCTACAGGCCCTAACAATATTCTGGCAATAGTACTGAAGACATATGCCCCAGAACCTGTCACTCCCCTAGCCAAGCTGTTCCAGTACAGTTACAACACTGGCATCTACCCGACAATATGGAAAATTGCCCTGGTATATCCTATACACAGGAAACAAGACAAATCCTAACCAGCCAATTGCAGTCTACCCTCAATCATCAGTAAAGTGATGGAAGGTATCAGTAACAGCGTTATCAAGCAGCACCTGCTCAGCAATAATCTGTTCAGTGACGCCCAGTTTGGATTCTGCCAGGGCCACTCAGCTCCTGATCTCATTACGGCCTTGGTTCAAAAATGGACAAAAGAGCTGAATACTAGAGTGACAGCCCTTGACATCAAGGCTGCACTTGACTGAGTGTGGAATCAAAGAGCCCTAGCAAAACTGGAATCACTGGATATCAAGGAATAAACTCGCCGGTGGTTGGAGTCATACCTGACTCATAGGAAGATGGTCGTGTTTGTTGGAGGTCAATCATCTCAGCTCCAGGACATCTCTGCAGGAGTTCCTCAGGGTAGTGTCCTAGGCCCAACCATCTTCAGCTGCTTCATCAATGACCTTCCCTCCCTCATAAGCTCAGAAGTGGGGATGTTTGCCGATGACTACACAATGTTCAGCACCATTCACAACTCCTTAGATACTGAAGCAGTCCATGTTCAAGTGCAACAAGATCAGGACAATATCCAGGCTTGGGCTGACAAGTAGCAAGTAACATTCGCACCACATAAACAGCAGGCTATGACCATCTCCAATAAGAGACAATCTAATCACTGTCCCTTGACATTCAATAGTTTTACTGTCACTGAATCCCCCACAATCAACATCCTGGGGGTTATCACTGATCAAAAATGGAACTGGACTCACCACATAAACACAGTGGCTACAAGAGCAGGTCAAAAGCTAGGAACAAAAACAGAAATTGCTGGAAAAGCTCAGCAGGTCTGGCAGCATCTGTGCAGAAAAAATCAGAGTTAATGTTCGGGTCCAATGACCTTTCCTTAGAATGTTCCTGATTTACAGCATCTGCAGTTCTTTGACCTTTTTTTCAGAAGCTGGGAATACTGCAGCGAGTAACTCACCTCCTGACTCCCCAAAGCCTGTCCATCATCTACAAGGCACAGGAGTGTGATGGAATACTCCCCATTTGTCTGGAAGGGTGCAGCTCCAACAACACTCGAGAAGCTTGACACCATCCAGGACAGAGCAGCCCCCGCTTGATTGAACATAAGAACATAAGAACTAGGAGCAGGAGTAGGCCATCCGGCCCCTCGAGCCTGCCCCGCCATTTAATAAGATCATGGCTGATCTTTTTGAGACTCAGCTCCACTTACCCGCCCACACACCATAACCCTTAATTTCTTTACTGTTCAAAAATTTATCTAACCTTGCCTTAAAAACATTCAGCAAGGTAGCTTCAACCGCTTCACTGGGCAGGGAATTCCACAGATTCACAACCCTTTGGGTGAAGAAGTTCCTCCTGACCTCAGTCCTACATCTGCTTCCCTTTATTTTGAGGCTATGCCCCCTAGTCCTAGTTTCACCTGCTAGCGGAAATAACCTCCCTGCCTCCACCTTAACTCTTCCCTTCATAATCTTATATGTTTCTATAAGATCTCCCCTCATTCTTCTGAATTCCAATGAGTATAATCCCAGTCTACTCAGTATCTCCTCGTAATCCAACCCTCTCAACTTTGGAATCAACCGAGTGAATATCCTCTGCACCCCCTCCAGTGCTAGTATATCCCTTCACAAGTAAGGAGACCAAAACTGCACACAGTACTCCAGGAGTGGCCTCACCAGGACCCTATACAGCTGCAGCATAGCCTCCCTGTTTTTAAACTCCATCCCTCTAGCAATGGCAGACAAAATTCCATTTGCCTTTTTAATCACCTGCTGCACCTGCAATCCTACTTTTAGCGATTCATGCACAAGGACACCCAAGTCCCTCTGCACAGCAGTGTGCTGCAATTTTTTACCATTTAAAACATAGTCTATTTTGCTGTTATTCCTACCAAAATGGATGACCTCACACTTATCAACATTGTACTCCATCTGCCCACTCAATTAGACTATCTATATGCCTCTGTAGACTTTGTGTCTTCTGCACACTTTGCTCTACCACTCATCTTAGTGTCATCTGCAAATTTTGACACACCACACTTAGTCCCCAATTCCAAATCATCTATGTAATTGGCACCACATCCACAAGCATCCACTCCTTCCACCACCAACGCTCAGTAGCAGCAGTGTGTACTATCTACAAGATGCACTGCAGAAATTCACCAAAGATCCTCAGACAGCTCCTTTCAGAACCCATGACCACTTCCATGGCGGAGAAAATACGCCAAACTCTTTGCAGCATTCAACCCATTATCAATGATGATGGGTACCTTGCCAAGATCTTCGACATGCCTCCAATTCTCGCCTTCAAACAATCACCAAACCTTAAACAGACCATCGTTCTCAGCAGACTACCCAGCCTTCAGGACGACCCATTTCCACACTGTAGGGATTCTATGATTATTATACAAAGCTGTCATGGTAACCTCTGTAAGACATGTCAGATCATCTACATGGGCATTACCATCACACGTGGGAACACCACCCACCACATACATGGCAGATACTCATGTGACTCAGCCAATGTTGTCTATCTCATACGCTGCAGGCAAGGATGCCCCGGGGCATGGTATATTGGCAAAACCATGCAGACGCTTTGACAACGGATGGACAGACACCGTGCAACAATTCCCAGGCAGGGCAGTCCCCTCCCAGCAGTGGAGCTCTTCAGCGGTCAAGGACATTCAGCCTCAGGTCTTTGGGTAAACGTCCTCCAAGGTGGACTTCAGCATACATAACAACACGGAGTTGCCGAGCAGAGGCTGATAGCTAAGTTCCATACCCATAAGGACGGCCTCAACTGGGATCTTGGGTTCATGTCACAGTCATTGGGCAGTCGGTCAATATGACGTTTTATAAATTTCTACCACAGAAATAAAGCCATCTGAATGCAAACTAAAACACAAACAGATTCTAAACAAAGCCTCACACCTAACATGCATTGTCTGACCTAAAATGTCACATCTTTTTTACACTGATAAAACCTTTAGTTCTCACAGGACAGCGACTTCAAAGTGAAATCAATCCTAACCTAATCCTAACAATCTCTCCTCATACATCAGACCCGCCATCCCTGGAATCAGCCTGGTAAACCTTCACTGCATTCTCTCGAGAGCAAGAGCATCCTTCCTCAGAAAAGGAGAACAAAATTACACACAATATCCCAGGTGTGGTCTCGCCAAGGCCCTGTATAACTGCAACAACACATCCCTGCTCCTGTACAAACAAAGAACAAAGAAAATTACAGAACAGGAACAAGCCCGTGCCGATCCAGATCCTCTATCTAAATCTGTCACCTATTTTCCAAGGATCTATATCCCTCTGCTCCCTGCCCATTCATGTATCTGTCTAGATACATCTTAAATGACGCTATCATGCCCGCCTCTACCACCTCCGCTGGCAACGTGTTCCAGGCACCCACCACCCTCTGCGTAAAGAACTTTCCGCATATCTCCCTTAAACTTTTCCCCTCTCACCTTGAAATCGTGACCCCTAGTAATTGAGTCCCCCACTTTGGGAAAAAGCTTCTTGCTATCCACCCTGTCTGTACCTCTCATGATTTTGTAGACCTCAATCAGGTCCCCCCTCAACCTCCGTCTTTCTAATGTAAATAATCCTAATCTACTCAACTTCTCTTCATAGCTAGTGCCCTCCATACCAGGCAACATCCTGGTGAACCTCCTCTGCGCCCTCTCCAAAGCATCCACATCCTTTTGGTAATGTGGCGACCAGAACTGTACGCAGTATTCCAAATGTGGTCAAACCAAAGTTCTATACAACTGTAAAATGACCTGCCAACTCTTGTACCAATACCGCGTCCGATAAATGAAAGCGTGCCTTATGCCTTCTTGACCACTCTATCCATCTGCGTTGCCACCTTCAGGGCACAATAGACCTGAACACCCAGATCTCTTTGTGCATCAATTTTCCCCAGGGCTTTCCCATTTACTGTATAGTTTGCTCTTGAATTGGATCTGTACTCGAAACCTCTCGCAATGAAGACCAACATACCATTCACCTTCATTACCGCCTGCTGCACCTGCATGCTTACCTTCAGCGACTGGTGCACAAGGACACCCAGCTCCCACTGCACACTCCCCTCTCCCAATTTAAAGCCATTCAGGTAATAATCTGCCTCCTTGTTTTTGCTTCTGAAGTGAATAACCCCACATTTATCCACATTATGCTGCATCCGCCATTGATTTGCTCATTCACCCACCTGTCGAGATCATACTGAAGGATCTCTGCATCCTCGTTCACCCTCCCACCCGACTTGGTATCATCTGCAAACTTGGAGATGTTACATTTTGTTCCCTTATCCAGATCATTAATATATATTGTGAATAGCTGGGGTCCCAGCACTGATCCTCGTGGCACCCCACTAGTTACTTCCTGCCAATTTGAAAAGGATCTATTAATTCCAACTCTTTGTTTTCTCTCTGTCAACCACTTTCCCATCCGTCTCAATACATTTCCCCCAGTCCCATGTGCTTTAATCTTGCACATTAATCTCTTATGTGGGACTTTGTCAAACACTTTCTGAAAGTCCAAATATACTACATTGACTGGGCTCCCCTTGTCAACTCTACTAGTTACATCTTCACAGAATTCCAACAGTTTTGTCAAGCATGATGTCAAACATGAATTCGGGGATTTGCATATACTCATTGATCAATTAAAACCTTCTAACTGATTAAAGATTTAACAGCATCTTAGATTTGTTTAGTACATCCTCATCAATGGTATGAACGCTTGATCTTTTACATATAAATTCTACGTCTGATATTACCTCTCTCACTAACACCTGAATGAGGACTGAAGCTCTGAAAGCTTGTGTTTTAAAATAAACCTATTGGACTATAACCTGGTGTCATGTGTTTTCTGACTTTGCCCACCCCAATCCAACACCGGCACCTCCACATCATCACTTCAATCCAGAAGGACAAGGGCAGCAGATACATGGGAACACCACCCCCTGCAAGATCCCCTCCAAGCCACTCACCATCCTTACTTGGAACGGTATCACCATTTCTTCACTGTCACTGGGTCAAAATCCTGGAATTCCCTCCCTAAGGGCATTATGGTCAACCCACAGCAGGGAGACTGCAGGGGTTCAAGAAGACAGCTCATTACCAACGTCTCAGGGGCAACTACTGATGGGCAATAAGCATTGGCCAGCTAGCAATGCCCACATCAAATGAATGAAAAAAAATAAACTCCCTTTCCCCTGCATCATTTGTTCAGTCAGAAGTGCATTCTTCTGCTCTACTCTCCTGGTGATATCAGACATCATCTGAACACAAAGGACTCTGATGTCGCACTTGTTCATTCTACCCACCACACCTCCTCAGAGTCTTTCCCATACAGGGTCTTAGCCCTAATCCCTCAGATTCTTCCTCCTCCCCCTCACAAACATCCCCCCAACCCATCAGGGTCCTACCCCCTTGCCCCCTCAGCCTGCTCCCCCTACTTTGCCACTTAGGTTATTCTGCATCTGCTTAGTGACATCCTTGACCCTGACACCAGGATGGCATCAGTCCCTAAACCATTTGGTAAATCGTTTCTGCATTGAACTGTTTCATGAACATTAATTCAAACGACGATATCCCTCCTTTTTCCCTTTGTATTACTCCTGAATTCCCAAGAATATAAGGCTCTGCCTCCTCGAGACACATCACAACCCCATTTGACAACTTATGCAGATCCCAATCCTCATGTCACCACAGACATTGTTGGAGATACAATTTTAAATCTTTGTCATTGTTACAAGATTGTTAGTAACCATGATGTCATTCTCATCACGGAGGTTAGTTTCATGTGTAATCTGCAATCTCTTACCTGGACACATGGCAGTGTTGCAACTTTCTGACTGGAATTTGGGACCTTGGCAGGTGGCTGCATTCTGTGGATGGGGGAGGGTACGTTCCCTGATGCGAAAGCCTCCACTGCAGGGCTCCCGGCATGGACTCCACACACCCCAGAAACCCCAGGAGCAGTCATCTGTAAAACAAACAGGTCTTGTGTATTACTAAGAGCTATTGACAGAGAGGTGTCATAGTAAGAGAGACAGGTCTCGAAGAGACACACAAAGGGACTGGAATCAATTGCAGAAATAATTTGTTGAACTTCACGTGAAAAAGTCCAGGGTCTGACTTCTGAATTCTGGTGCATCAAGGAACTTCAGTGACTGTAGCAATTAGGATTGTTTTCAACAGGATGTTGGAGTGAAGGCATCAATCACAAAGATAGATCTAACTCAGAGGGAAATAAAAAAAAATGCTCATGGAATATACGAACAAAGGAACAAGGATCAGGAGTAGGCCATTCAGCCCCTCGATCCTGCTCTGTCATTCAATAAGATCTTGGCTGATCAGATTGTAACTGCAAACCTACAAATCCTGATAAATGAGGTTGTTGACTTGCTCGCTGAGATGGCTTGTTCTCGTTCAGACGTTTTGTCACCATGCTAGGTAACATCATCAGTGGAGCCTCCGATGAAGCTATGTTATTCTACTCCGTTTGGAATTTATACTGTCTGGTCCGTTATGGTGAGTAGCGTCATTTCCGGTTTTGATCTGTATGGGTTTATATATGGGGTCCAATTCTATATGTTTGTTGATTGCATTACAGGTGGAGAACCATGCCTCTAGGAATTCCTGTGCATGTCTATGTTTGGCTTGGGCTACTATGGTTACCTTGCCCCAGTTAAACTGATGGCCTTTGTTGTCGAGTGTACCGATATTAAGGAGAGTTCATCGTGCCAAAGAACAAAGAACAAAGAACAAAGAAAATTACAGAACAGGAACAGGCCCTTCGGCCCTCCAAGCCTGCGCCAATCCAGATCCTCTGTCTAAACCTGTCATCCATTTTCCAAGGATCTGTATCCCTCTGCTCCCTGCCCATTCATGTATCTGTCTAGATACATCTTAAATAACGCTATTGTGCCTGCTTCTACCACCTCCGCTGGCATCGCATTCCAGGCACCCACCAACCTCTGCATAAAGAACTCTCTACGCATATCTCCCTTAAACTTTTCCCCTCTCACCTTGAAATCGTGACCCCGAGTAATTGAGTCCCCCACTCTGGGGAAAAGCTTCTTGCTATCCACCCTGTCTATACCGCTTATGATTTTGTAGACCTCAATCAGGTCCCCCCTCAACCTCCGTCTTTCTAATGTAAATAATCCTAACCTACTCAACCTCTCTTCATAGCTAATGCCCTCCATACCAGGCAACATCCTGGTGAACCTCCTCTGCACCCTCTCCAAAGCATCCACATCCTTTTGGTAATGTGGCAACCAGAACTATACGCAGTATTCCAAATGTGGTCCAACGAAAGTCCTATACAACTGTAACATGACCTGCCAACTCTTGTACTCAATACCCTGTCCGATGAATGAAAGCATGCCATATGCCTTCTTGACTAGTCTATCCACCTGCGTTGCCACTTTCAGGGTACAATGGACCTGAACACCCAGATCTCCCAGATCACACCCAGAGCCGTTTTGCTGCTAGCTGGCGTTCGTGTATTCTGATGGCTAGTTTCCCTCCTGTCTGTCCGATGTAATGTTTGTGGCAGTCATTGCATGGTATTTTGTAAACCATGTTGGTTCTGCATGTTATGGGAATGGGGTCTTTAATCCTTGTAAGTGTTTGGCGTAGAGTGGCTGTGGGCTTGTGGGCCACCATGATTCCTAGCGGTCTAAGGAGTCTTGTTGTCAGTTTCAATATATTCTTGATGTAGGGCAGTGTGGTAAATGTGTTAGGTAGTACTGTGTCCTCCTGTTGTTGTCTGTTATGTAGGCATCGGTGGATGAAGTTGCGGGGATATTCATTTAAAGCGAGGATTTTGTATCAGCGTTCTTCTTCTTCGCAGCATATTTCTGGAGTGTTGCAGTGTGTCCCGGCCCATTTTAACAGTGTCCTAATGCAGCTTTGTTTGTGGACGTTGGGGTGGTTGCTGTGGAAGTTGAAGATTTGATCAGTGTGGATTGCTTTTCTGTATACTGAGGTTTGGAACTCCCCGTTGGTCAATTGCTCAACTTTAACACCCAGAAACGGAAGTTGATTGTTGGTTTCTTCTTCCCCTGTGAATACACTGTTGATGAGGTGATGGGTCTGTTCTAATTTATTGCGTCTAATAATGACAAATGTATCGTCTACATACCGGATCCACAGTTCAGGTTGAATGTGGGGGAGGGTAGTGTGTTCTAATCTTTGCCTGACTGCTTCTACAATGAGTCCTGAGGTGGGTGACCCCATTGGTGTACTGGTGATCTGTTTGTATTTTTGACCATTAAAGACGAAGTGTGTGGTGAGGCAGACGTCTCGTAATTTAAGTATGTTGTCCTTGTTGATGGAGCTGCTTGTCTGTGTTGCTGTTTCCTCTAGTAATGTTGCCACTGTTTTTTTGGCTAGTGGGATTTTGATTGATGTGAATAAAGCTGTGACATCAAAGGATACCATAATCTCGTAGTCGCTAATTTTTATGTTTGTGAGGATATTGAGGAAATCTTCGGTTGAGTGGATAGAATGAGGTGATCCGTCTACTTGGAGTTTTAGTCTCTGTTTAGGTCCTTGGCCAGTTTGTGTGACGGTGTGCCTCGTAGGGAAACAATGGGTCTCAGAGCGATGTCTGGTTTATGTACTTTAGGCAGTTCATAGAAACGGTGGGTGGGGTGGTGTTTGTGCCTTCTGGTTTCATTCTCATGAAGTCTGTCTTGGCTATCTGCCCTGCATTCATTAGTCACTTCAGTTCCTGGTGATCCTATTACCTAGCTGTGATGTTGGGTCCATCGCTGCCTGTTGGTAAGTGTTTGTATCTGCAAGCAATGCCTGTGCTTTCTCAACATAGTCTGGTTTGCTCACAATGACGGTCATGTACCCTTTGTCTGCTGGTAGCATTATCATGTTCTTGTCTTACTCAGGAAAGACACTATTTAAATGGGCCAGCACACACTGCAACACTCCAGAACTATGCCGGGAAAAGGAAGAACACTTATACAAAATCCTCACTTTAAACGGATATCCCGCAACTTCATCCACAGATGCCTAATAAACAAACAACAGGAGGACACAGTAAGCCCTCCCACACTGACCACACTGCCCTACATCAGGAACATATCAGAACTGACAACAAGACTCCTAAGACCACTAGGAATCATGGTGGCCCACAAGCCCACAGCAACTCTACGACAAATACTTACAAGGATTAAAGACCCCATTCCCAAAACATGCAGAACGAATGTCGTTTACAAAATACCATGGAATGACTGCCACAAACATTACATTGGACAGACAGGAGGGAAACTAGCCATCAGAATACAGGAACATCAGCTAGCAGTAAAATGGCACGATGAACTCTCCTTATTATTGGTATATTCAGACAACGAAGGCCATCAGTTTAATTGGGACAAGGTAACCATAGTAGCCCAAGCCAAACATAGACACACACGGGAATTCCTAGAGGCATGGTTCTCCACCCATACTTCAATCAATAAACATATAGAATTGGACCCCATATATAAACCCATACAGAACAAAACCAGAAATGACAGTACTCACCATAACGGACCTGACAGTATAAATTCTAAACGGAGTAGAATAACATCGCTTCATCGGAGGCTTCACGGATGATGTCACCCAGCATGGTGACGAAACGTCTGAACAACAACAAGCCAGTTCAGCGAGCATTTCAACAACCTCATCCATAACCCGAGCTACAGATCTTTGCCAAAACTTTAAATCATGATAAATGCCCACTCCCTTGCTTAAGAACAATCTCTTTATCTCTGCTGCAAAAAAATATTCGTAGGGTCTGCTTCCAGCACCTTTCAGAAAGAGAGTTCCAAAGACTCTCAACGTTTTGAGAGAAAAAAATACCTCATCTATATTTTAAATGGGCATCCCCTGATTGTTAAACAGTGACCCCTAGTTCTAGATTCTGCCACAAGAGAAAACATGCTCTCCACATCTTCCTGTCAAGACGCTTCAGGATTTTATATGTTTCAATCTAGTGTTGTTCTCCTAAACTGCAGTGGGTAAAAGTCCACTCTCTTGTCATAAGAAACCCAGCCATTCCAGGGATTTGTCTGGTCAATGTAAGGTTGACGTAGTGGAAATTGTCAACAGGCTGGTGATCCAAAAACCAGCTCAATGTTCTGGGTTTCATGAGTTCATATCCCACTGTGCAAGATGGTGAAATTTGAATAAAAATTCCAATAAAAATTTCAATAAAAACATTCGGGAATTAAAAGCCAGTTTAATGGTGACAACGTAACCATTGCTGATAGTTATAAAAACCCATCTGGTTCAGTGATGCACCTTATAGAAGGAAATCTGTTATTGTTACTTGGTCAGGCCTACACATGACTCCAGACCCGCAGCAATGTTGTTGACTCCTAACCCACCTCTGAAATGGCCCTAGTATGATACTCCATTCCAGGGTAATTATGGATGGCCAATAAATGTTGGCCCAGTCAGTGACATCCACATCCAATAAACAATTAAAAAACAAGCCATTTCAATACTGTTTCCAGTATATTTCCATCCTTCCTTAAATAAGTCACTGAAACTGACCAGAAATCGGCTTAGTATTCTTTCTGTTGAGTATCCTGGAGAATTTATCTCTGCAGGGCCCAGGGAGTCTTCTTACACTGTCATCCCATATTCACTTGATTGTCTGGGTACCACATCCCTCCAGCATGCATCTCTGCTGATTTCAAAAAGGTGAAAACACTCACCATTGTTGTTATGTCCCAGGACCCCAGGTGCAGTGCCATCTTTGAACCCCAGCTCTGCACCTGGAGAAGATGTGGCAATCCAGAGTTTCCCTTCACTGTGTACATAGTGCCATGGCACTCCATACCAACTCTCCTCAAGGAACAGAGTTGGCATGGCTGACACTTCGCACAGTCTCATTCTTGTCACTGTTTAAGCACCAGGTCACACAACTTACCCACATCCATCTGTCTAGGTTACTGCTGCCCTTTCTCCAATGTACCTCAGAATCTTCACATTGTTCAGTGAAGTTGGTTGGGGGGGGGGGGGGGGTGGGGGAGGCACTTCAAACAGTTTGAAACATTCACTTTCATTCAGCAAGAGCAAAATACAACAATGCTGTTGTGCTCTGTGTCATGCTAAAGGTAATCTTCCACCTGCTCAATGTCCTCACCTTCCTCCTGCTCAATGTCCTCACCTTCCACCTGCTCAATGTCCTCACCTTCCTCCTGCTCAATGTCCTCACCTTCCTCCTGCTCAATGTCCTCACCTTCCTCCTGCTCAATGTCCTCACCTTCCTCCTGCTCAATGTCCTCACCTTCCTCCTGCTCAATGTCCTCACCTTCCTCCTGCTCAATGTCCTCACCTTCCGCCTGCTCAATGTCCTCACCTTCC